AGCTTCTTTAATTGGTGAATTGGATTTTCTTTTAGCTTTTCACATTCACAAAGATTTATCTTGTTTATTTAATGACTTTAATCCAGTCCTTCTTAACCCTTTTAAAATTCTATTAATTTTTTAATTTTCATTACTATTTTTGCTGACAGATGGCACTACCTTCTCGTTCGCTTTAGCCCCGTTGGGTATAAAGGAAAGCATGGCTCTCCCTCTCTGTTGCTTCACTACAGCAATCCTGCCCAGCCTGTTTCAAACATTTCACCTCTTCAAGCACTGAATGGAGCATCTAATTCTAAACAGCTGGACACACAATGCAAAATTGCATACTAATCACGGCGTAAGCGGAACTTGGAACCTTTGTTGCGTGATCGCCTAATTAGGAGTAAGCATCTCCAGTGACACTCCTGTGAAGAAAACCATGGATTGGAACCTTTTCTGAAATCTCGCTTTTGCCTCTTGCCTCAACATTTCCAGTCTCAGTACTAATGAAGATATTGATGAAGCAATTAATCACATTACTAGCAATCTTCACAATTTTCTTGAAAACTCTACTACCACCTGTTATGCGGATCATTATCACGGTCAGCTCCCACTGCACATCAGGAATATTATTAAAGAATGCAACAGGCTGAATAAAAATTTTAATTGCACCTGGAATCCAGATGTGAAAGCCAAAATCAATCAACTTTATCACAAAATTAAATATCTCATCAGCGAACATTGATCAAATCTCCGGCAGAATAAGATCGACCAACTCAACTTTGGCATTACGTTCATACGCTGAAAACAAGCAGGCCCTACTCTTAACCAATCAGGAGCAAGCATTCCACTGCCTACACTGGTGATGAAAAAGCTAATGTTGTTGCTGCTTTTTTCCAAGATCAATTTAGACCAGGTATTTTTCTCACAAATCCTGCCTCTGATCAAGGAATTATGAAATTTGTCAACGAATGGATCATCTCCTCTCCGTCTCCCAAAAATATCATGAAGTTTACTTCTCTTGCCGAAATTAAGGACATTATCAAGCACTCTCCTTCCTGTGAAGCTCCAGGTCAAGATGGCTTCACCAATCAAATGTTTAAGCATCTTCCTCATAAGTACTTTATTACATCATGCAGCATTTTCAGTGCCTGTATATGGAACTGCTACTTTCCCATTTCATGGAAGCAAGCATCCATTTTCATGATTCTTAAACCTCTCAAGTCTAAGAATTCTCCTTCTAGCTATCATCCCATCCATCTCCTTTATACATTGGCAAAACTTCTTGAAAGAATTATCCATCACAGACTTCAACAATACTTGCATGCCACCAGTGATGTCCAATATGGCTTCCGTAAGGGACTTTCAACTACGAAGCAGTTAACCAGGATTTGTGAATTTGTGGGTGTTTGATTGCATAGCAAGCTTAGTCTCGTGGTCCTAATGCTAAATGTGGCCAAAGCTTTTAACCGCATCTGCATGAGGGACTCATCTACAAGTGTATTAGAATGAATCTTCCATATGAGCTGATCCTGATACTCAGTCCTTCCTGGATAACAAGACTTTTATCATACAACACGGCAACTCCTATTCCTCTCCCAAGGTAATCTCAGTGAGAATTCCACAAGGAAGTATTTTAGGACCTATTTTATATATATTATATCTATGCTAAAATGACTTCCTCAGTCTAAAAGATGACCACAATACGTTTCTTACATGTTACACCGATGGTACAGCAATTCTAGCCAAATCTAGGCTCCCTAATTGTGCCATCTCCTGGTTTCAGAATAAGATCTCTGTGATTGAAGAATGGTGTTGTAAGTGGAAGGTTAACATAAATCCAGCCAAATCCGATGTGCTCCTCATCAGGAAATTTAAAAGATTTGACCCCATCACCTCCTGTATCACTCTCTTCAATACCGACATCCCGATGGTGCACACTTCCAAATATCTGGGTGTTGCACTAAACTCTGCCTTCACATGGGCAAACCATATCAGGTTAAAGGAAATGTGCTACAAATCTTGATCAAGCTAAATTCCCTCCTTTCAAGCACCTCTAGACTCAGTTTACAAATAAAAAAAATTTACACGTCCATCATTCATCCTTACCTATGCTTCTCCCACCTAAGCCCATGCCACAGCTAATGACATTAGACATTCAAAATAAATTTCTAAGCATCATTACTGGAGCCCCATACTTTATCAGAAAAAATTCTTTGCACAGGGAATTAAAAATTGAATACATTCAAGATTACCTTAACAAACTGAATGCCTCATTTTTCAGCAAATCTGCTGCCCGCCCTGTAGCAAATTTCTTGCGGTGCCTTAATTATGAGATTCTTATGAATAAGCTTCCTATTAGCCTTTTGCAGCTCAAAAGCTTAGAATCCAAAATTACTATTTGGCTACAGTAACTCGACTTAATGAATTTCTATGATGCTGCTTAATGAATTTCTATGATGCTGCATTAGAGAATGTACAGCCAAGCAGTTATGTCATGGGACTTTCACCACAGACGTGGATGCCGAGGGTTCTATCTTGGACGATTTTCAAAAATTATTTTTCCTGCTATTCTACTGAAATAGACTGTTTTCTACTTGTACAGTATTTGGACAAATTTTTGCATCTATTCTTATATTGTTAGTAGTATATTTTGATTTTCTATATATTTTTAACTGCCTCTGACCTACTGCAGTGCTTGTGTTGGATTTTCAACCAGTATGGACTTATTTATTCTGCCCTGGATATGAAGTTATTTATACACTGCCTTATTGTGGAATTTTGTTTCTTGTACATTTGCTGATGTATTTTATTACTGTAAATGCATTTTGTACCTTTTGGAAATTCATCCTGAATTTTTAAAAACTTCTTGGTATCCTGACTTAAGATTCGAAGATGCATCACGTGCTGTCCAAGTTTTCTGATTCTCCAGCCAAAGATCCTGCCCTCGATATGTTTTCTCTCACCAGCTCAGAAATTGTCACCTCTCTGACCAGTAGATGTCACTACCTCCAGAACTTACCAGATGTTGCATTCCACACAGGATAATGTTGCCTCATTTTCTTCTATATTGTGACCCTTTCTTAGGTTCAATTTTGTCATGCCCCTCCTGGGAACCCTTGAGGTGCAGGGAAGAGCTAATTTTTTATCTGTATGCCAGCCTAAATACCAGCACCCAAGTCCTTTGTCGCAAATTGTTTTCGCGTCTGATGATGAGGGAGATGTACCTCTTTGCCCTCAAAATCGATAGAGTTTTTGACTAAATCTAAGCCAAACACAAGACTGTTTGCTTTGTTAATTTTGCATTTTACCTTGTTTCTCTTCTATTTTGATTTATGTATGATTTGATGTAGGAACACTGCATTCTGAAATGTCTTTGGCCTGATATTTTAATGTATTTCTGTATTTTATTAAATCTTCATTATGAATAACATAATGCACATGCAACTGAATGAATATCATGTATAACCAGATGTATATATATAACCTTTGTTAACCTGATGTAACTGGAGATGTATGCTTTTTAGATGAATTCAGTTTTTAAATGGCAAAATCATAAACAAGAAAAAATTGTAAAATGGTAGTTCAGGTATTGGGAGCTGCATTCTTCATCATAAAATTGAATTTTAGGCACTTCATTGCCTGAAATAACTGTTACATTGGAGTGGAAATCTGAAGGTCTGTTTCAGAATTGAAGATAAGCACTTTTGATCTGTTTGAGATAAATTAATTTGTTTTCTTTTGCGTGAAAAATACCAGATTTTATGTCCATGTTTTCTAGAAATTAGCATTTTTATTGTATGCCTATCATTAGTAGTTATGAACTCAGGCATTAGTAAGTCAAGAACATCTGCATAAAAAATAGTCATTTTATGAACATAGAATTTTTTTTTTCAATTAGTAATGTTGGTACAAGATTATCACTTTAATTAATAATTAAAATTTTTATAGTTAAATACTGCAAAATGCTACACCATGTTCAGAATAAAATTCGTGTTTTCATTGTTTGTTTCTCAGCAACACATTGAGTCAAGAACTACTATCACACTGTACACTTGACCTTGGTACCGGTAGATTTTCAATGAAATGGTTTAAAACCTTGAATATTCCTGAACAACATGTCTTTCTAAATACTTCCTACTGCCACTACTCTATGGTGGTGGTAGCAGTCTCCTAGATACATTCCATTCTGCTATAAGTGATTATCTGCATTCTTACTGTAGTTTCATTTGCTGAAGGTATCCTGTTGTGTTTTATGATGGGTTAAGCAAGTATATTTTACATGCTAGTCTATTTGTTTATTACCAATAATGCGTAAAATTTCTCAGTGGAAATTTGAAGTAAATATTTCCCTTTCCTCCTGATAATTTGTATTCAATCCATATTAGATTCGACTGGTTCATTCTGGTTTTTATAAATTTTTGAAGTCTTTTACGAGGATTCAGTTCTTTCTAGATAATAGAACAACTTTGTCATTTTCTTCTTCAAGTATAACTTAGATTTTGCCATATTAAAAGCTGCTTTTTATTTGATAATGATGTGAAAAATTTTCAGCACCATGACAAAGACTTGCGTCATTAAAATTGGATAATCCGAGGATATCTGAACTCTCACAGACAGGAGAATTGACGGAGAGGGACGTTACCGGACAGCCTCTTTTGCATAGATTCATCATTTAGACACTTGCATCTTGTTAATTGCTCATTTTGTTGTCAATTTAGACTTTTGAGTACAATATGTTATAATAATACTCACAGAAATTAGTATAAATTAACCAAAAAATGTATATGATATTAAATATAAAAAAATTGAAAAAGTAAGAAATAAAGTTAGAAAAGAGTAAAAATTTGGATATTAAAAATCGTTCATTTAATACAAAAGCAATATAAGGCTAGTCATCACTGGAAAATGCAGTTTTGCCGTAGACTATTTTTGATTATGAAACTCGTTATGAATAGAAGTTGTGATTTAATATTTTTTTCCAACTATCTAAACAAGCTTATTATTTTGTATTTTTATAGGTAATGAAAATCATTTTATGAATGAAGATGAAAAATGGGGCGTATATCCTTGTTCAATGAACAGGTATGGGAATCAGTTTTTATTTAAATATAAAATAGTTTTATTTTATTTTTATTACATTTTTGGCTTAGTATAGTTTTCTTCTCATCAGAGAAACCAAGCTGTTTAAGATTCTGAAAAATTCTTTTGGAGGAAATGCAAAATCAAAAATTATTTTTACTGTCACCCCATCACTTGATTCTGAAACAGAACTAGTTTTTCTGGAGTGCTCATCTTATGCAAAAGAAATTCATAACAAGCCTGAGATAAATGAAAAGCTGATAATTAGGGATTCAATAAAGGTAAAATTTTCAGTTATTTTAAATAATATTTGAGATAGTTGTTAATCTTGACTTATTAAACTTGCACGTGATTACGGGAATCATTAAATCAAAACAAAATTTGTATAAAATATGGAATTTTGGAAATGTATTGGCCTCGTAAATTAAAAATAATAGCACATTTTGCAACAGTAAAACACATATATGCAGGAAGTATGGAAGCTGCTACTGTTAAAGGATTTTAAGGCATGAGTTACTTTCAAATTTTTAATTTCTAAGCATAATCTTATTTTTAGACTTAATCATGCTTCTCATACAATTATATATTTTCTTAAAAGTTACTTTTTTATTTAGGGAGAACAAAATCGGCTTCAGACAATGTACAATGAACATGATTTACTGATATTAGGTAGCAATTGCTAGACAAAGAGTATATATAGGGTGCATCATAAATTCGTGCCAACTTCAAAAATTCATACTAAAAGAAGTAATGCTAACAAAATTTCAGTTTGCTAGAATATTGAGGGATATTGGATGTTTTCCATGTACATATATATATATATATATATATATATATATATATATATATATATATATATATATATATTCCAAAAGTAACTGAATGAGGGCAGCCTTGGCTGGAAATAGATCCGTTGTTTAATGTGGGCAGCAGGCTATCATTACCAGACCGATTCTTAGTGGTTAAACTTTCCTCCAAGAATGGTGAATCTATAAGTATTGCATTGCAAAAGTTTTGCATGGAAAAAGGGCTGAAGGTGCAAAAAAGCCCTATTTCATTTGTTGTGGTATTAAATTTAGTTGAGGAAAAAAGGAGTTTTGACGATTGTCCATGAAGTGGCAGACCATCCTTGAGTGCAGACTACGTCCATGTTGTACAAAGTACCATGAAAGAATTGGCAGCCAAGACATCAGCAGAAAGTAGCAGTGCTTGTGAAGCTGGGAGAATAACGGGGATTCCAGAATCACCAGTTCAGTGTATTCTGTATGGAATCTTGAAACTGTATTTATACAAAATACAGGCACTTCACCAATTATTACCGGCAGATGCTGATGAAATACTGTTTAACCACACTAGCGAGAGCAGTTTAGCTGAGTCCCAAGAGGGTTCATTTTAATTAATAGGGTGTAGGTGAAAAGCACAGGTATTTTTCCCTCTCATCAGATTTTAGTCAGAGCAGTCATTTAGTGTTTTTTCTAGAACTGTTGAGCATTGCTTTCCGATTTTAATTTTTACTGTGAATTATAGTGTTTCAGGGAGCTCCAGAAATAAGCCTATCTGCAGCAGTTTTAAGCAATTGGTGCATAATGTGATTAAAGTTTATGATGAAAAATCACAGTTATGAAGTCTCACCAACCCAGTTCCACAGCCAACATGTAAAGCGAGTAGTATCACTAGCGTTTGTATTGACAACATAAACAGAGTTGGTAAAGAATCTTAAAGTATAAAGAAATGTTAAATTCTCTTTGACTAAAAAAAAGAACAAAAAGAGAAAAACTGTTATAAGTACAGGTTTGGATAATTTTGATTTGGATGTTCCGAGACAAGCATTTCAAAACTTTTTTGTCAAAGAAAAGAAAGTACCAACTATAGCCAAACTGCTTCCTGTATTAAACAATCAGTTTTCCTTGGCAAAGCAAAATCCTGAGAAAGATTCTCTGAAAAATTGGTTTCAACTGGAAGAAAACTTAAATAAAAGAAGCATTTTACTACAAAGATCTGATGTTTTCTTAAGAACACTATATTTGTGAAACATTAAATGTTACAGAGGAACTGCATACACAAAGTGTGGGTGGATATCAGTTTAACGTTTAGAAAATGCTGGTAATGAAATGAAATCGGTGGAATTTTAGAAACAGGGAATGCCTCGTTACATAATAATTTTATGTGCTGGTAGTCAGATGGTTTTCATTCCCAATACTAGATTAATATATAAAGGGAACTCTAGCACTGGCTATTATTGCAGACAAATGAATTCTTCTATATTTGAAAAATGGGCAAACGAAAAGCTCATTCCGAACATACCACTGAATGCCATGATAATCGTTGATAAAGCACCTTATCATTCAGTTTAGCTTAATAAAGCTCCCAGTGCTTTCTCCCAAAAAGGAATGTTTAGTACAGTGGCTGATAAAAAACATTCCTTTTTGTCCGAATTTGCAAAAAGTGGAGTTGCTGGATTTAGTGAAAAAAAGTGCTCCCAAAGCTAAAACTTTTACATTTGATTCTATAATCGAAGGACAGATCCATACAGTTCTCCCACTCTCACTAAAACAGTAAGCTAAAAAGGGAGCTTTAAAGCTAAAACTTTTAAATTTGATTCTATAACTGAAGGACACTGCCATACAGTTCTGCCATTTCACTGTGATATTACGTATGGGCTGAAGTAGAAAATTACGTCAAAGTCGGATCATGGCTGCAGATATAAGCATGTCAAATTTGTGTTTCACGAACGAAGCTACTGAAGGTGTTTTGGTGATCAGCTGGAAGAAGCTTCATGAAGGATTTAGAAAGTGAATATCAGAGGAAAGATGGTTTTATAAAAGAATTATGTGAACGATTAAATTTTACTGTTGGCGTCAATTTGGGGTCTGAATTCTGTTTGAGTTCGGAGGAACCTTAATTCTGTGTCTCCAAAATAAATGTAAAGGGGGGTTATGGCATGTCTAATTAAAATAAATAATTTTTATGCGACCTCTTCTCATTAAATAGTTTTATTTTATGTATAGATCACTTGATTATATTAAGAAAAATGTGTTTTATTAAAGCATATTTAACAGGTAAAAGTTTTCAAAGCTTGAAAATAAATATTTAAAAGTAATTAAAATGTATTTGTGAAGTATTATGTATTAAAATATGTATAAATTGAGGATGAAATATATTAAAATGTATAGTTTTCTATTACAGTTCTTATACTGGTTTTTCTTTGAAATATTACAATCTTATGTCTTTATGTATTTTAATTCTGTAATTTTAAAATTTGATCATACATCAATTTAAAATGCATAAAGTGCAGACAACAATTTTCTGTTGTGAAGCACTTGAACGATAACAGCATGAAATGGAAGAAACTTTTAAATCTATTGAGCTGCTGCATTCACCCCTTGTTCATTTATGCAGCAAAATAAACTATTACACTACCAGCGTATCACAAACTCTAGAGACTTAATAAACAGTATTCATTATTGCTGAAAATAAGTTTCTGTCTTAAAATCACTCATCTAAATAACAAAGCAGTCTTTTAAATAAGTCTGCTTACTACACGCACATATTTTTGCCAATTCTGCAAATTGTTTGTTGCCACTTCCTAAAAACAAAACTAACAATAATTATTAGTGGCTAAACAACATTAAGTTAGTAAAATTTGATGAAAGTATGTATAAAATACAAACTACATATCATATGAATTCAATATCCCTACATCACTGATATATATGGCCAAATTTGAAATTTATAGTGGGACAGTACAAAACGTTGCTACATGGGCTCTGGCACAAATGAAATGTGACTTACTATGATTTTTGAACATCATGTGAACAGATGAAGCCCATGTTTTATTGTGTGGTTACGTCAATACACGAAACAGTTGCATTTGGGTGATGTCAAACCCTCATGACTACTTGACCAAGCTACTGCTGTCTCCTCAAATGACTGCTTGTTGTGGTTTCATTCTAGGCCCTTTTCTTTTTGAAAGAGCATTGTCCTATAGCTGACTGAAAAACCTGTACAGTCGCTGAAGAACGGTATGTTACACTTTTGTGTGACCATGCCTGCATTGCAGGAAAGACATATGTTAAATGTCATTATCTTCATGCAGTATGGTGCCCCGCCCCCATGTTACACATGAAGTCAAGACTCTCCTGTTGGAATTTTCACTGAAGACTGAGTTGAGGTTGTAAGTTTAAGTGGCCATGCATGATCACCAGATCAACCCTGCAGAATTTTGGTTTTCGAGATACTTAGTCTTGTGTGTACTGAGGCTTCCCAACCACTGAAGGAACTGAAAGATACCATTTGATGGACCGTCGGTGACATCAGTGCTGCCATGATACACTCAGCTATAATAAAAGTAGTGACATACCTCACTTGCCAAATATCTTGTGCTGGTGGTTATGTTGAACGTATACTTTAAAATAAATGCACAGTGTCATGTTATTGTGATCTGTTTCATTGTCTTTTGTGTTTAACTGGTTTGCATAAAACATTTCGGATGTGACATGCACATGCCCTTTTTTGGTTATGTGTGAAATATTTTTTTATGCATGTAAAAAAAAAATCTGCCGAACTTTCCTCTGGTCATATTCGTGCAAACCAAAAGTTTTCCCTATCGTTATTTCTTTTATTATGAATTTTAGAAGTTTGCATGAATTAATGATGTACCCTGTATGAAAACTATGTGAGTGGGTATATCATCATCATTGTGGAGGCTTTTCTGAAGGAAACTGCTAGCTATTTAGATTAATTGTGAAGGATAGCAGCAGGAGCCCCTCATATGCATCCAGCTTTTCCACCACTAATCATACCTGGCAACAAAAGTACACTATGTTGAAATGAATCACAGACTGCTCAAAAAATATACTGGCTTCCAAAAGTAAAACATGCAACAGTATAACCCACCAAAATGAAAAAGTAATGCTTTAATTAACACCTCATTGCACAGGAAGGTAACAGATGTGTTTATGCATGAACAAAAAGAAACGTTATGTACAAAAGTGATAACAATATTTAATTTTCATAAATTATATCATATCACATTTGGATCATTAATAAATTGATGTTTAAAGCTAGAAACAAACAAACCTTGCATTACTGAAGTACATGACCATCCTGGACCTTCATACAAACTTCACAATGATTGCCTATGCTTGCAGTCAGGTGATAGATACCATCACAGATGCTTGCAAAGGCCATTCCTCAATTAGAGCAGTTTCCAACTGTCTGACACTGGCTAGAGAAGGTAAATATGCAGAGACAGCAAGTCTGAAAACATCCCAAAGATTTT